ACGCGCGCACACACACACACACACACACACACACATTGCGATTGGCAAATAATTATAAAGTGCATGTTGCCTATCACATGATTTCACCTCATTTAATAATAACCTCTGCTAAGAACATTTTACCACGAAGTAGCAAACAGATTATGATATTTACCAACGTAAACTGAGGCCAGAGATTTGTGTTGTGTTTAAAAACTATATAATTGAAACAGTGTCGGAATTTTCACTGTTGAACAATGCCAGTGAGCAGTACATATTTTTAATATGTCAGATTTGTTCACGCTGTTTGAAAAGGGTCAGCCACATGTTCCCAGGACCCTGTGTTTCAGCCCCATGTTTCTCTCAGCCGAAGTAAATTTTAGTAAAATTTTAGTTAATGATCTCTAAATAAGATCTAAAGTTATACTTATGGATGGCCAAGCTGCTTCCAGGTAGATTCCATTACTAAAACACACTCGAGTCATTCAAGTCAAAGACGTATTTAAATTAGAATAAAATAGTAGGGGTGTAACGATACACGAAATTCAATTATCAGTACAGTGCAAAAAGCAAAAATAAGCATTGCCTGAATATGTGTCTTAGGCTTCCATGTTCAGTTGATTAACACATTCGAAATGATAAAAATATAATAAGTGTACCTGTGTAGCACACTGTATTTGTGTGCTCCATTCAGACTCTTAACAGTGTAAAACAAAACAAAAGCTGTGTGTTTAGACCAGAGCGAAGCTAGACATGGACGAGCTTTCACTGGTGTGACTCGCAGGGGGACGTGTCTGAAGCAAGCCGCTTTAGCATTTGCTCGCTCATGCAGCTCTCTGTAGCCCTAGATGTGTTTTTGAATCCTGTGTTCTTTAATATCAAATATGAATTTTCCAACCACTGCTGTGATTTTTTTAATGTGGAGGAGAGGCAGCGTGTGTGTGTGTGTGTGTGTTTGTGTGTGTGTGTGCATGTGTATGTCTCTGTTTGTGTGAATGTGTGTGTGTTTTGCTTTGTGTTTTCGTCTCGCATTAGAGAGCAACACAGAAGGGCAGTGACAGACACTGCAATGTTTCGGTCCACAAGTTACTCAGTGGCCATCAGTGTCGAAACTTATCAGGAAGCCAGCGTGTCCTGATACACCAGACCTTCGAGATCTGGGGAAATTTTCCCAATTCCTGCTTGCTGTTTTTCTCAAGCTAATACAGTAGTGTACTATTAAGCTTTAGTATTAGCATGTGATAAAACAGCATCATTAGCAAAGCACTTTTTTTTGAACCTCTGTAGTCTCTCCCGAGTTAGAGTTTTTGTGATTTTGCCTTTATACACCACCACAATGGATTTGAAATAAAACAAATCAAGATGTGATCGAAGTGTAGACTTTCAGCTTTATTTTAAGAGGTTCCACAAAAATATGGCATTTACTATTTAGGAATTACAGCCGTTTTCAGCAAAATACCTCCATTTTCCAGACCTGACTGTACTTTTTCTTATTCTTGAGACAAATGTCAAGCCATCTGTCCAGCAGCTTAAGCTGAGCTGAAATCGGATCATGCAACAGGACAATGATCCCAAACACACCAGCAAATCAACATCTGAATGGCTAAAGAAGGAAAAAAAAAAAAAATCAAGTTTGGGTTGGAATGGCAAAGTCAAAGTCCAGAACTCAGCCCAATTGAGATGCTGTGGCAGGATCTTAAGAGAGCTGTGCATGAACTAGTGCCAGTTAACTCAAACATCAAAGAACTGAAGCGTTGTTGTAAAGAAGAGGGGGCCAAAATTTCTCCAGAATGATGTGAGAGCCTGATAAACTCATACAGAAAGCGTCTACTTCAAGCTTTTGTTGCTAAAGGTGGTTCTACATGTTACTGAATGGTAGGGTGTGCTTATTTTTCCCCACCTGGTTTCCGAATGTTGGTCAAAATGACTACATATTGACATCTGTTGCGTTTTTTTTGTAACCTGAGGTTATTTGTTTGTCTATAGAAGTTGGTGAGGACCACGCAGTTATAAATAAACCCATAGAATTGATGGAGGGTGTACTTTCTTTTTCTCCATGACTGTGCATGTGTTTTGAGGCATGGTCTCCGCTGACGCTGTAATCAGTAATATGACCGCGGAGAGCCTTTAGCGAGTCTCGTTCTTGTGTCCTATTGAAGGAACATACTGTAGCTGAGGGAATAAAGATATTTGACTGGATACTCGTTGAGAGTTCATGCACCTCATCGAGCGGATTCTCACAGGGTTTAAATCATATTGATCATGCCCAATTAACCGCTGTTAGGATCAGTCTCAGTGTGATTACTGAGTTCTCACAGCAGTGAATGTGAAGGTGTTCTATTGAGCATTAAGCAGTAAATAAATGTAGCTTGCAATGTTTTTATAGCTTGAATAGAGATAATCATTAGCAGTAAAAATCTCTGTCTCGCTCTTTCTCTCTCTCTCTCTCTCTCTCTCTCTCTCACACACACACACACACACACACACACACACACACACACACACACACACACACACACACACACACACACAGAGAGAGAGAGGGAGAGAGAGAGAGAGAGAGCTTGATTCTTGCAGACTGCTCATATTGTGGTCATGTTTGCCACTTGTAAAGTCTTGTTTCTGTTCAGCGGAATTAAAAGGACCCTGCCGTTAAAAGGAATTAAAAGGACACTGTCATGTGATTTTACGCGACCAGTCACCGTCATCTTGTGGATGGGCTTCGCTGTGGAGCTTCTCGGAGACAGAAGGATTATAAGAAACGGTCCGATGTTAATCACTGTCCTATCCGCGCTCTGTGGATTATGTCTGTTATGCATCATGTGGCAAAGACATGAAGACAGTGAAGTTTGCTATGTACATGAAAGTCATTAGAGAAACGTGTTGAATACAACTGACAAAACAAAACTTGCGTGACAGCCGGCTGCTGCAGGAAGTGACGTCATCACGCAGAGATTTCTTATCTCGTCTAAAAAATGTCTATTTAAAGTGAAGTTCACTAACATTTTGAACACAGTGGAGAGACGAAGGTTTCAGGTTAGGGTTAGATTTAGGTGTAGCACTAATTAGCTGTTAATAATTACAGCAGTAGAAGCTCCTCACAAGGATAGTAAGACTACTGTGTGTGTGTGTGTGTGTGTGTGTGTGTGTGTGTGTGTGTGTGTGTGTGTGTGGCATGGCTGTAATGAAGACTAGAAGAATAGAAATGTACCCAGAGGAGAGAAGCGTAAATTGTTTATCTGAGCTGGACTGCAATTTAAAATGCGCGCACGTGTGCGCACACACACACACAGACACACAAACACACACACACAAACACACACACACACATATGGAGAACAGGTCGCCCTCTTGTCAATTGATTGATCTGAGATCGGAGCAGTGCAGCTGTGTGTCTCTTTACAATGATGTATTCCTCTCTGCCTTTGAAGTGCATAATAGACACACACACACACTCTCTCACACACATACACACACACACACACACACACACACACACACACACAAAACAGGGTGAATAAATGGTATTAAATTGAAGGATACAGGTGTGCGTATGTGTGTTGCATCTTCGAAGGTCTGGTACAGGCCCATTATGCTAATGTATTAAAATGTATTCTGATTTCACTCTGTGTGTGTGTGCGCATGTGTTTGTGTGTGTGTGTGTGTGTGTGTGAGAGAGAGTGTGTGTGTGTGTGTGTGTGTGTGTGTGTGTGTGTGTGTAAGCATGTTTATATATCTTGGTGGGGTACAAAGTAGGCCGGTCCCCACAAGGAAACTCGAAAATGTATTTAAAAGAGGCACCAACATTTGGAGATTATTACAGTATATTAATTGATTTTTATTACAAAAAAAAATTGACCTTTTATACGCTATTTGATATTCAGCCACAGAAAAAAATGCACCATGTTACCAAATTAAGTAACACATTAAAAAAAAATTTAAATGCTCTTTAAAACTACTTCAAATACAAATGATTTTAAAAGCCGCACCTGCTTTAAACTGGAAGGATGATAGCGAAGCCTCCATTTTTCAGCACTGATTCCTGCTCCTTACATTCTCGCTCCTTACTGTTTTTTTTTTTTTTTTTTTTTTTTGCATGCGTGAACAAATTTTTTAAAATTAATTTTCAATAGACAACTACGGACACCCTAAGAGGCCATGCGTTATAATTTTTTTCTTTCTTGTTTTCTTGTGAAAACAACTTTTGTTATGTCAAGATCACAAGAAAATGAAGTATTTAATTTTTCTGTCTTTTGACATAACAGAAGTTGTTTTCTCATGAACACAACTTCATTTTTCCGTGTACTCGACATAACAACATGATGTTTTTCTTGTTCTGGAGGCAGCAAAAGCTTAGCGCAATCCCAGCATCGGGGATGATTAAATTCGTTTTTACTTTGATGATGGACTCACTCGGGCTGAAGCAGCTGTGTGTGCGTCAGTGATTGACAGCTTCCACATTAGTGTCCGACACTTGAGAAGGAGGCTGTCTCCATTTTTGTGAGGTTCTCCTCTGGGACATCTCTCTCTCTTAATGCAGAGATAAAGTCCACCACTACAGTCGGTGGTTATTAAATTTATGCTGGCGGTGGCGAAGACGCCAACGTGCATGCAACGCCGGTCCCGAGATTTTCTTGTGATAAAATTACGTCGTGAGAAAGCCACTTTTGTTATGTCGAGATCACGAGAAAACAACTTTTTGTTAGGCGGAGATTATGAGAATATTCAGTTGAGATCATGAGCAAACAAGAAAGAAATAAAATAATGCATGGCCTTTTAGGGCTTCCGTAGATAACAATAACGTAACATCAAGAGGATTATTCAGGGCATTCGTTGTTGTTGTTGTTGTTGTTGTTGTTGTTGTTGTTTCGGCTGCTCCTGTTAGGGGTCGCCACAGCGGGTCATTGGTCCGCATGTTTGATTTGGCACAGTTTTTGAAAGAAAAAAAAAAAAAAAGATGCCCTTCCTGAGCCAACCCTCCCAGGAATGTGTGTGTGTGTGTGTGTGTATATATATGTGTCCTTCCTGGCCAGGAATCGACCCCAGGCCACAGCGGTGAGATCACCGAAGCCTAACCACTAGTCCTCCAATGACCATTCAGGGCATTTGTTAAGGAGCTAATATTAAGTCCTTAAGGGACAGTGCAGATATCTGACCATGTAGATACTGGAGCTGGGAGCCATTTTATAATCCTGGCTATAAGGCAGTGGTTCCCAACCTTTTTTCCTTTTCCTCCCCCACAGATATATATATGACAATCTGAGCCCCCCCAACCCTCAAATATATATATATATTAATACATATACTATATATATCAATGCTAATCACACATGTACACGTATACAGTATACAGTTAATATAAATAAATAGTTAATAAATCATTTCAAGTTTTAATGCCATTTTTGACATGAATACACAACATTTTCTTCTCTCTGTTTTCAGGTTATTATATGTACAGAATGCTGAAC